CCCCTTAAAAAACAACAACCACAACAACAACAAAACAAACAACGAAAGTCAAGCAAAATTTTACAACAAAAAGTGCACACATTTTTATGACTTGCTGTTTCTTTTGTCCCAGTACCGGCAGCAGGCAGCCTTACATGTGCTGAATTAGCAAAGGTCAAGTCCAAGTATGCACAACTGATTGCACCAGAGAGGCAATATGTGTCGATGCAGCCACCTTCTATTTGACAAATTAAGCTACTAATAAACTAGCCATTTGCTTTTCAGATCATACTTGTCTCATAAGCTAAATTTCAGTTAGTCATAGCACTACAAGTAAGATAAGGAGAGTAGTAGGACCTATACATTAACATCTTTTCTCATTAAATGTTGAAAAAAATGTTTCACCCCTATTCACTCTAATAATATACAATCATTTGGATTAGGGCTTCTTCATCCTAGATCTAGGCCGAGTAGGAAGATGAGAACAAGTAAGTTGGACCTGCTAGCTGCATCTTCTAGTCACCCATAAGCTAACCTCTGACAGAGCTGAGAGTAGCATCAACTTATAAAAAAAACTTTTTTGGGGGGGTAAGTGTTTCATGGCGCTTGCAACTGCATAAGGTCAATATGAGTCATTATGAGCCCACGGACACATTAAACATTTTCAGTTGGAAGGAAATTTTAAATTTTACTCGGGTGGCGGCCGAAGCCTACTCTTCTTATCGATTTGGACCACCAAGGAATCTCTAAATTGAGCACAACTTGCACACAGGACCTCTAAGATTTTTAGCCCTTGTCCAAGAAGGCTAGAGGTGTAGATCTTTCCCACAATAATTTCAGGGATGAGTCTGAAAGACAGCAATAAGAAAGAGCCAAGGAGTAGCAGTAAAAAGGCTGCAGAAAGAGTCAGGAGCCCAAAGGAGAGGGCAAAGGAGGTGAGGGGGTAGGAGCAGAAAGTGGAGACAGAAGCAGAAAATTTTTCGTCGCTATTCGGATTCAAACCCACGACTTATTGAAAGAGAGGTGAACACCTTAACCTCTAGACCACGAGAAAAAAACCTCTGAGCTTGACAATGTAAATGCAAAGAGCAGTAGGTGTATGTACCATGCCAATTGTATCAACTGCATTTACTAGATAAACAGCAGTTTATCATATGATATGCTTGATTTTGACTCATCAATTTTTCCCTTAACAGTTCACAACACCTTAAGATTTAATAGAGAAACCAGAACATTGACAACATAATAATTTTTCCTTGAGGGAAAGCTCAAGTACAACATGGAGTCTCTCCATAAAGACTAGATTAATTAGAACAACGATCTCAACTAGGAATGTGAATGGGGCTCATGAATGACTTTGAATATTTTCATGAGTTAATTCATTGTACAGACAATACAGGTAGATTTTAAAAAACATCCCAAATTAATTTTTAAAAACCAACAAAGGGAAAACATTTCTTTCTTTAGTATATGTCTTATTTATTTGTAGTCATAATTCTCATATCAACATCACTAGCATTGCAATAATTTTAACAAATGAAATACATGTACATTGTAAATTGTATGTTAGGTCTGTCTTCCTTAGATCCAAACAAAATTGGCTGAACTGCAGAGTACCATACTTCATAAAAATTTGTTGTGTTTCAGTTTTCATTTATAAGCTTAAAAGATGCATGTCTTCATGCAATTACATAATTCCAAATATTTTACTCACTTGGAGATAAAAACCTGACTAAATAGCATGAAAGTACATTGTATGTGACAGAAGGCATACACACTGAGAACAGAAGTGAAGCAAAAACAGTAACAGTAACCTGCCATAAAAACTAGCACAAAAACAGGTCTCAATGATCCGAAGACAGCAGAGGTCATGACACTTCCATGCCCGAGTTGTCCTCATCACCCCCTCTCGCGTCTGACTCTAGACTCGCCATATCTTTCTTGGCCGTTTTATTCTCCAGCAACTTCCTCACAGCTTCATAGTTCCGCTTGGACTGAATTCACAAAGAAATAAATAGAAGAAAATAAGGACTATTAAACAACAAACTGATAAGGTACCGTTCACAACTGATGTCAGCTCGGGGACGGGGAGGGGGTCCTTACAAAGTTGGTGTCAACCTTGATGCTCTAAAAGGTTGGGGAAAAAATATTATAGACCACATTTTCTTGGCCTAAAATTAGTTAAAGTTGTAAATAAATAATTTGACAGTTCAGGTACTTCTTTGTTGTATCTTTAATAAACAATAGTTTTTAATTTCAAAATTTAAAATAAAGATCAAAAGTGTAAATATAAAATGCATCCTGTACAAGTTCTATCTAAATGTACATGTACATTTTGGTTGAGGTCAACTAGGGTGCGCTGGGAAAGATGACAGAAGATGACAAGGGGGGCACTTTTAGCCAAATTTTAGCTGACATCATTTGTGAACGGTCCCTAAAAGCTGGATGGTGGTAGCACATATGATGATTTAAAACAACCACAGTTATTCACTGACAGATAAGAATAAAAGCAACACAGAAAAACAGTAGATACAGGAGACAAGAACTCCCATTAATCCTACAAAAAAAGATGGATGACGAACAGACGAGTACACGTAAACAAATACAGTGGAACTCGGATTCAACAAGGTCGTTGGGCCTGAACTTAAATCTCGTTGAATCCGAGTGTTCGTTATGGCAAACACGAGGTTTTGTGTAGATAATTACAGGCACAGAGCAAGTAATGTATAAAGAGAAGTCACAGGTAGGTAGTGCCTGAAATGCCAGCATATTATGAGCTGTGTAAAAAAAAGACAGATTCGTTCAAATACACAAGCCTGTGTCATCTCGATTGTTTACCAAGAAAAAGTTGTGTTGCTGTGTAGAGCCGAGCATACGGCAACTTTTGGTTCCATAGACCAGCGCACAATGCATTACGTAGATCTACGCCAAGACTAGCTTATTATTGTAATAATGATCAGTTGCCAGGGGAAAAAAGACTGACGCGTTTGTATATGCGACGTTCAACTCCCGGACCGCTAGTGCCCCCTCCCCGACACGCACACACAGCCACACATGTGCAGGCCGCCCATCCGACCCCGACACACGCTAAAGTAGATACGTATGCGTGGCAACAACACACTTGTTGGTATTTAAAAAGGCCCCTGATTGGTCGCATGCAATCGGCTAAGTGAATAATGTTTCATGATGCAGGTGCAATGGATGGTTTCTGGGAATAGATAAAGTTTGTTCTGGGAGAAAAATTAGTAAAGCCAAGTCTGCGGGGGCTGTTCACCCTGGAAGCGACCTCGTTGAATCCGAGCTCGCTGATTTAAGTCCTCGTTGAATCCAGGTTACTTTTATTGATTTTAAAGAAGGAAAAAAACGGGGAATCTATCTCATCTCGTTGAATCCGAGCTCGTTAAATCCGAGTTCCACTGTAGAGCCATGCAGCATTACTTAATACTTTTAAAGCAAAATATCATGAAAGAACCTCTGGAAAAAGGAAACCACCTTCCCTGATGTTGAAATAAAGAAAAAGTTTTATAAATATCAGTTTTAGGTGGTCCATCCTGAAAATCTTTATAACACAATTTTTTTCAGTCATCTAAAATGTTATCAAGGTATGATATTCACATCATAATTTTAAAAATAATTCTGTTTCCAAAAAAGTGTTACTACAATTCTCATAATTTAGGTAATTTCCTCCTCCCCTCCCCCCATCAAAAAACAAGTACGTTATCAATCTAAGAGGACAACAGAGCAGGATCATATCTTACAGCATATAGCATGAAGTAAAACATACACCAACATGACACAAGATCATCTAAAAAAACATAAGTCAGTATACCTCAGGTCTACCAAATTTGCACAAGTGTGGGAAACAAAAAATGTGTTCCAACTCATGACCTCTTGACCATCAATCTGGCAACCTGACCATAAGACCAGAGACACCCTAATCCACATTTAATACTAATTTAGATTTAACTACCAGACAGTGATAAAGGTCAAAAGATAAAAAGCCTCATGCCTCACCTCAGAATCTACTGACGCACTGACACTGTCAAATGCACGCTCAAAATGTGAATTGCTGACAACTGGCACCACACAGGGCTCAGAGGCTTCTGTGGACTCGATGATCTCCTCCAGACAGGCCTCTCGCGCCACTTGCAACAGATTGGCAAGATCAGCTCCACTGCGTGTGAACAAATCATGACTTTCATTACAAAATAGCAATTACAATAAAACATATTTGGGTAAAAGTTACAAAATAACAATAATCACAAAACATATTTGGGTAAACGTTACAAAATAACAATTACAATAAAATGTATCCGGATAAAAGTGACCCCTTCATTTCTAATGTGCATTACCTAGTGCAAAAATTGGGGTCACAGTGAAGCTCAAGCTAGGTTTTATAAAGTGATGTATGCTCTGTTCAGACAGATGTTGCTGCTAAAGAATGTGCCACTTGTGAGGGGAAAAAAGTCAACATCTTCATTTCAACGTCTAGGTGCAAGACTCCAACAAACTCTAAATAGCAAAATGACATTTGGCAGAGGCTTGCGACAAGCCAACAGTATGTCTACAATATCATCATAGTAGAAAATTATCTTTCATCAAAATCCACAGTACAGACATATTTATCATACTCACATTTAGCATAAATACTTTTAGACCAAAGAAAGAAAACTTACGAGAACCCATCACAGCGCTTGTCTTGGCCTATTCTGTCCAGGAAGACATCACCAGCCAGCTTCGGCCGAGTGCCGTTCTGTGAATGAGATAGAAACATGCCAACAGTACATAATCAGAACAAAAATGAAATATATCAGTTTGGTGTACAATATACTCTTTCTGTAAAGACTTTACTACACAAACCCCCCACACTTTTCCCCCCTCCGACAAAACACAACATAACCCCCCCCCCTCCCCCCCCAAACAACTAAACATAACAAGCATACACAAATCCACACACAATTAATTACCTTGGTGAGAGCGTGAAGAATTTCCACTCTGCTGCCTGAGTTCGGCAGGCCCACGTAAATGATTTTATCCATACGACCTGGTCGGAGAAAAGCCTTGTCCAAACGATCTGAAAACCGTATCAGTTCAGAAGAATAATTACAGTATAAATCAAATAGTGAACAGTATGCAATTTTACATTACTTTCCCCAGTACAGTCGGGCATAGATAACATAAACACAGTTTACTCCAATAAGGAATGTGTTGAACATATGTTAAACAAATCTGTGCTCAACTGTACTTGTTTATAATTAAAAGAAAATCCTCTTGATTAAAAAAAAAAACATTTTTGAAAGTTTTATCTCAGGAAGTTTTTTACAAACCAGCAAAATAGAATAAGCAATGTTTAAAGCACATTGCACCAATATACAACACAAGATCAAGTAAAAGAACATAATAACTCAAAAATAAATTTATAAACTTACAATCAGGAAATCAAGACTGAGTAGAAACATATAACCAGTGGAAAGCTTTGTTCAAGAAAAATTGCATGTGCTTTTGAAAAAATGTAGGTGTAGGTCACATCACATGTGTTTGAGATATAGATAAAGGTGAAAAAATGAGATGTCATTTCCTATACTGACATTTAGAGAGAAGTTGCAGGAAAAATGCTAGATATGTGTGGCAAAGAGACAGCCGCATCATTTTCAGCACTGCAAATTAAAAAGTAACTAGTGCCACTGCAATCGTCTTTTTCATCAAGTGCCAGAGCAGAACTCTACATTACAATCCCGTTTCGTCATCCACTTCTCTGATCGGACATTCTCAAAATTCCAATATTATTTTGGTCCTTTTCCCACCAGCCATTTAATGAAATGATGTGAGCAATTTATTCTTGATCTATCACTGCAATGGATGACTAAAAAGCCCATCTTTGCATCAATTTTTTCCTTCCATCTGCTGTGACAACCATGATCAACACTCTTTTAGTCCTCACTTTCTAAAACATATCACTGTAAAGAGATGTTCTTACCAAGTCTGTTCGTAGCTGCAATTACATAGACCTCAGTCCTCTGCTCCAAACCAGACATTTCCAGTAAGAGCTGATTTGTCACACGACTAGTTGAGTTCTCCTAAAAAAAAAAAAAAAGGATGAAATGAAAAAGAAGGTTATCAGTGATTAACACTAATTAAACGTTAGTTTATTGCTTGCATGAGTGGACAAACTTAGTGGCCATGAGAGTTTGCCTGGGTACATTTGCCTGGGTAATCACCTTTACCCTTCTGTGCACCAAATGCCTGAGAATTTAGGCTTTGAGGGAGAAGGCTCAAAGGGAAAAAAGAAAGTTGGAAGTCTTACAGTATTATCAACACTACATGTTTGAGGAAAGCAAGAAGGATGTCAGATATAGCAAAATACTACTACATAAATATTAGAAAAGGACAGAAAATATAAAAACAACCTACCAGTGATGCTTTTACATTACTGACAGAAAATCATTTATGATCACGAAATTTAGAAACTGTGACTATAGACAAAGTTAATTCAAAATGTTGAGAAAGGAACATCATTTTGAGAGTATCCCTATTACCTTGAGTACATTAGTGGGAAAATACTTCAGAAAAGACACCCCCCCCCCTTCCAAACCAGAAATTCTATTCTAAAAATTGAAAAAAAAAACCAGCACCCCAATTTACAAAACAAACAAACAACAAAAAAATAATACATAAACATAAAAACAACAACACAAACCAACCTTCAACTGTAATGTAAGACTCTTTTCCTGAAACAACTTATAAACTCTATGTCAGAGAGGAAGTTTTTCACACAGTACTTACATCACTGCCAGATGACCTCCGAGGGCAAATGGAGTCGATCTCATCAAAGAAAATGACACAAGGGGCTAGACTGCTGGCACGCTTGAAGAGGTCCCTCACATTTTTCTCACTCTCACCAACATACTGGGAAGTGAGAAGAAAACAAAGAACACATTGCAAGGGTGATTTAATATCTTCCGAGCCATATAAAGATTGTTCCTAACCAATGTATATATCTTAACACAAAATAATCATGGTAAATTCATTGTTCATTCAAACCCAGCGGTTACTTTGTGTTTATCACTCACCAGAGCTGAGCTCAGTTGTTGACAGTGTAAACAAAATAACCACCACATTTCATGAGAAGAAGTAAAGAACAAGACACAAGTGGTATAAGAAGAATTGTTATAAACCCAATATCCATAAGACACATAAAGGTTTGCTAATACATGCTTTCAGAGCAAACGCTAGACCTCTAGAAATATAAAAAAAACCCACCCCACACACACCTCTACCCCTTGCCTTTAAAGTCACTTTGACCAATGACACGATCAGTAACTACTAATTCAATGCCACTTTTCATGACAAACTTCAGGACCTGCCTCTCAAAATCTCTGTGACATCATGAAACTCACTGTTTTGAGACACTTCAGTCTCCCAGTAACACGAGAAAAAAAAAAAAAAAAAGAAAAAGAAAATTAAGTTCTCATTCATTTTCTTTTTTTTTCTCCCCCATCATATTATATTTACACATTTTCACTCACTTTGTTTAGGAGCTCCGCTCCTTTGATGTACAAAAAGTTTATGCCTGCTTCGTTCGCAACAGCCTGAGGAAATAAACAAAAGATTGAGTCTTTTTTTGTGCTGACTATAGGATCATCGTAGATTATATTTCTGTAAAACATCTGAACAAATTATTATTCTACCACACAACCTCGTGTGTGTGACTTTCTTTGAAGGAATAGAGCAAATCTTTTTTTAAGAAAAATAAAATGTTGGACATAGCCTAACCGGAATATGACATGGGAGGGTATGAACTAAAAACCCTGTTCAACACAATAACAGCTAGGATATTAAAGAGAAAAAGTAATTAATCCATGTATATCAATAAAGCTGAACGCAGCACTTATCCCTATCACATCAAAGTGAACTTAGTTCTGGCAGCTTATCAAACAAAAAAAACAAACAAAACAAAAACAAGATAATCTAGCCTGCACCATGACCCTGTTCTTGCACTCACCCGAGCAACTGAAGTTTTCCCACAGCCTGGAGGTCCCACCAACAACACACCAGCAGCCGACGTCATCCCAATGGCCTGGTACAGCTCCGGACGCTTCGTTCTCTCCTGGGAGACAGGAAACACAATGACATGATTGAAGCCTTTCAAATGTGTTTCAAAGAAAGAACATCCAAGAAATAAGTAAACGTAAAAATCCAGCTTAGACTATAGTGAAGCTCCACTTGCACTGTTTTTGACAGCAGAGATGTGAAATCTAAATTAAGGATACATGCTAGTCTTGTACAGCCTTCAAATAAGGCCACCGATAAAATTACATAATCTCCCCTGACGTGTCAATCCACTTCTATTTAACCATTTGTGTATGTGCCTGGTGAAAGGTACCAAATGACGCATTTTGAAGAATCCCGCTTTTTTTGCATTTTCATGGACAGAGATCATTTCTGAACAATAAGTTTTTTGAATTTTTAAGATATCTTCAGTAGTTTTTGAGATATGGATGGTTTTGTAAGGCAGGCTACGGAAACAAAGTTTTGAGAAAAGCGGCTTTAAAGTTTCCGCTTTGTTTCTGCTTCAAATAGACAGAACTACGTTTCGAGATGACCTGACAACACATTCGCTACTCACAAACCAACTTTAAAAAGCAGCTAAGATATAACAACAGCTTCAAAGTGTTTATATTACATCTTCTTTCTTTTTTTTTTGGTAAGTGTTTTACGGTGCTCACAACTGCATAAGGTCATATGAGCGCGCGGGACACACCCAATACTTTTAGTTGGTAGGAAATTTTGAATTTTGCCCGGGTGGCAGCCGAAGCCTACTCTTATCAATTTTAGACCACCAAGGGATCTTTAACGTGCGCAACTTGCACACGGGCCCTCCAAGATTTTCGCATTTGTCCAAGAAGGCTAGGTGTAGATCTTTCCTAACAGAAGATCAGGGGTGTGGCAGAAAGACAGCTGTAAGAAGGAGTCAAGGAGTAGCAGTAGAAAGGCTGCAGAAAGAGTCAGGAGCCCAGAGTAGGGGGCAAAGGAGTTGAGGGGGTGGGGCAGAAAGAGGAGATGAAAGCAGACGAAAGAAAATTGCTAGAGAGCAGGAAAGGAGGTGAAAGGAGACAATTTTAGAAAAGAAAATTTTTCGGTCGCTACCCAGATTCGAACCCCGAACCTTTGAATGAGAGACCAACACCTTAACCTCTAGGCCACGAGAGTCCCCATTACATCTTCAAAACAAATTCACCACCACCAAGAGCAAGAATTTTCAAGAAATAGAGGCAGAAAAAGGCCATACAAGTTTGGTCTAAAAAATAACGAAAGGGTGTGGATGTGCAGTTTTGCTTTGTTTACATGTTCTAGATATTCATGCGTACTACCCACCATTAGAGAGGGGAGAGATTGACCTAAATTTTGATAAGCATTGTGATTGGGTCGACTTTATGAATGGACAAGAGAAACCATCTGCGGTGTTAACTCAAAAAATCGATTTTGTCACGCATTTTTGGGGATACCTCGGGTTTAAAAAAATCTTTCAAAATCTATTTTAAAGTAAAAGAAACTCAAGTCCTTGTAAATATCTATATATTAATGACTAAAGAATCCATTTTTAATGGAACTAAGTTTTTGTCAAAAATTCTATTTTTGACCTTTGAAGCCCGATATCTCGGTTTGAACAAATGCGTCTTTAGGTACCTTTCACCAGGCACACTCACATTTCTATTCAACAAGAGACAAATAGCACTCCAGCATGTTGTACATGTAATATTCGATCACGACTAGATTATTACAAGTCTAAGATAAATTTTCTTTCTTAAATAGCTCCATACTTTTTTAAATAAAGTTTCTGAAACCATTATCTTAAAATGCATAAATTATCATAAAATGTATAAAACAACTTTGATGTGAAGGGTATTAAACTAAAACAAAAGCACTGCATTCATTCAACATGCATTCAAGATTACCCAAAATTTTTTACAGTGCCTCCTCAATGCAAAAAAGTAAAATTTGAAAAGAAGAAAGCATAAACTCACCATGATGCAAAGGTTGAGCTTCTTCCTAATGCTGTCTAAGCCACCAATGTCATCCCACGTCGTGTTGGGAACGAGAGTGACATCTTCTTGCTTGGCAGTAGGTTTGACCTCCGTCATAGCTTTCTGAATAAAAATATTTGACAACATTTCAAAGTAATAAAAAACAAGTAATAAAAACAAGCGTATGCCAAAACAGCCTAAGAATGTTATATGCTGGTGGATATCCTCTTGTTTGTTTTGGTTTTTAAGAGTTTCACGGCACTTGCAATACAATTAAGTCATATAAGAGCCGAATTTTAGAGGTGTTACAAGAGCATAGCAAATTCCAAAAAAAAAGGAGAGATAGGGATGGCAAATGTTTGAAAGGAAAGAAGCAAATCACACCAGAGTACCCACCCACCACCCACTTTGAAATCTCTATGACAAAAAAGTTTGAATAACAACATCAGAGAAAATTTGGGTATTGTATGAGTTTCAACACTTAAAAGTCAGGACCAATATCAACTGAGCTATAAATCATTAACCACCTGGGATGTAATAAGATGGACGGTATCTGCATAGTACATACAAAGTTGACAAAATTCTTCCCAGTATAAAATAAACCAAACCCCAAATAAAGTAACAACATCCTTACTTGAAAATCTGACTTGGTAAGTTTCACTTCAAAATTCTCCACCTCCTCTGGGGTGAACATCAGCTTTTGCCTCTTGCATTCTGTCAACAAAATAGAAACAACGACAAATAATGCACTGAGTTGTTTTTTTCCCAACATTCCTGTTCGGAAGCAGACAAATTAATTATCTGAAAATTAAGATATGACTACTGCAAAACTTGACAGCAGTGTCGTTCACTGTGTGTTAGTGTACTTAGAGTAAAGCAACCGTATATCTTGGTAAAAGACTCAGTTAATGCTGTATGTGCCATAGAATCTGAAGAAATTGCTAATATGCAGTCAAACCTGCTCTAACGGCCACCTGTCTAAGACAATCACAAGCACAAATGGCCATGCCACACTCCCCCTTTGCATTTTTTCTGCATATAATGACACTGTCCCGGATGTTCACCTGTCTAAGACAACCGCCTTTCTCTTTGACAATGGTTGGCCGTCTTTGAAAATGTCAACTGTATATGCAAACAAGTTTGGAAGAAAGTGGACACTTGTGTAACACCTACATTGGCACTTTGTTACAAATACGTTAATAATTTGAGGACCATTAATTTTTCTTAGAAATTCTATAATTATGATAAACAAGTTAACAAATCAGAAAGTAGAAACAAAACTTTGAGATTACATGCTGCACACCTTGATTTTATTTTTTAATGGGGGAAGAATCAGAAAAAAAAACAACTGCATGCCATGACCAGGAAGGGATAGTAGATCTGCCGTCGTAAGGGAAAACGACGAATGGTCCTGCGCAGGTAGCGAGGCAAATTTTTCAGGAGAGGCAAAAACAGTTTTCACGTTATAATTCTTCTATTTTTCACTCTTTTAAGCTGTAATTCACCAGATATCTGATTGAGGTGTTCATGAAGCAGTTTCTAAAGTTTGAATGGTTTAGGTTAAAAAGTAGCAAAGTTATTTGACATTCGTCGTTCTCCCTTACATTGCGCACCTGCAGGTGAACCTTGCGATGTAAGCGAAAACGACGAATGGTACGGTTCGTCGTTCTCATTTACACTCGTGAACGTTTATGGGCGTAGGCGATGGTCAGTTGTGACGCATTAATGACAGTAATAGCTGTGTACTGGTTACTACAAATAAAAATAAGACACATACAAATTAGCTATTATACGTATAAAGTTAGGTGTTTGTTATATCCCAACTGTAACTCGGTAAAGGCCATTCTTTTCCCTTCCTCGCTTGGTTAAATACTACGCAGTCAGTGTACAATCAGATGTGCACACATTTTCAACAGCTTGATTTAAAACTGTCTCATTCGGAACCAAAGTTTGGTTTTCATGATATCTCTCTATTGTATTCTCTTCCGAAGCGAATTTTACTTTTATTTTCGCCAATTGCAAAATTTTCCCTGCACGACCAAAGGAATCAACAATGTTACAATGTCAATAATACGATCAGATCATTGCAAAGTCAAACTTTCATGTAAGAACTGTAACAATCTGACAAGACTGTTTCACAAACGCTTTCAGGAGAGGTAATGCGACGCTTTGTATTTATTAAAGGATTCAGTTGATCGGATCGGAAAACATACCACAAAGTAGAGATCGACAAGGACAGTTTGAATCTGCAAGACATTATTATGCTCGATTGCAACGTCCATCAAGTCATAAAAAATCGTAAAGCAAGACTAAGTGTCGCCACAATACCTCCACTTTTTAAGTTGGACTAAGAAATTTACTCTCATAACGCAGTGTCATTAATTGCTTGGTAATTCTATAATGATGTCGACCAGTGACACGTGCTAGACAAATTGCGGCACTATAACCATCGTTGGGATTTGGGATGTCAAATGACTGAACAGCAAAGTAACATGACGTTAGTCTGTGAACATCTGGCGGACACTAATATGCAGTGCTAATAAATTTCTCCCTGAATACTTTTTTGACCCTCCCATCCCCACCCTCTGTTCCCATCCGTTTTCCCCTCTCTCCTGCCTGTTTTTGTCAATTCACACCATCAGCATAGGGCTAATACGGGAAGACAGACAGAAAGACACACTAAGTGATACATTCTTATAACCCTGGTCGATTCTACTGTGGGGGAGGGGGTGGTGGTATATTTGTTTGCAAAAAACTTAGTATGTTTGTACTGACGCAACAGTGATCAATTGTCATTCGTCGCCCAAGCCGAATTTGCCCAACGGCAGAGACCAGGGGACAATGCCGAAAGAGCAGTGATCCTTGACCGATCGACCATTCGTCGTTCTCCCTTACACTGAGCTCTGGCTCGGAGCTCGCCAGTGTACGGGAAAACGACGAACTTTCAATTACGCAACAAAGGATTTGGATATGACAAAATTTTTTACACCATCAGATGCAGAATTAAATACTCTATGAAATATATAAAAATACCAAAATCGAAAAATTGTGACCATTCGTCGTTTTCCCTTACGACGGCAGAGATGTGGCAGAGTGTTTCAACCATGAACCAGAAACCCAGACCTGTATACTATACTCAAGTGAAAAAAAAAGCCAACATCCCCCCCCCCCCCAGGAGAACAAAAGTATGAAAAAACACAACCAGGCAATAAGGCACAAAGGTGGAATTTGACAAGATCTGAGAGAAACAGATACACCTTATTATCTTTAAATTCTGGTAGGAAGAAAGAGCTGAGGAGCTTCTTACCCGCCTCTCCCTCACTGCTGGGTGTTTCAGGAACCAAAGCCTTTCCCTCCTTCTTGAGGTCTGAGATAATTCTGTTTAGAGCACAGGCATTTGTGATGGAGATGAGCGTCTTGAGGTCACAACCCACATAACCTGGGGTCAGGTCAGCTATCTCTGACAATGACACATTATCCGAGAGTAGGACACCCTGGCACAGAGCTTCCAGAATGCTGTGGAAAAGAGAAAGATGCTTTAAAAATGGAACATGATCATCTCCATACTAAGCCCCCAAAATTTGATGGGCAAATTACAAATTTGCTGCTTGAATATTTTGCAAAGTAACCTCAAATGTGTGAAGAAGCAAAGTCCCTGTGAACTGAAATGACAGTTTCATGAGGGTTTGAAAAATAAGGCAGACATAATTTGTCAACGTTAATTACTTCACAAAATTTGACAGCTAATTATGCACATTTCTTTCACTATTTTCATTATTTCTTTCAGTATTTGACTGGTACAAGCCAAGCAGTTTAGCATCTTAATGAATGTCAAGACATTGCAACATGATGCCAATTTGTGCTGAAAAGCAAGAAAACCCACACAGCACCTATACTTTGCAGAAAAGAAACAAGTATTTAACAAATTTTTGCTTTTCTGAAATGCAGAAGAGCACCACAATCTACAACATACCTTTTCCTGGCATCTCTGTTGGGAAACCTCATGGCATACTCGATGTCAAACCGCCCCGTTCTCCTGAACGCTTCATCCAAAGAATTGGGTCGATTTGTGGCACAAATCATTAGGACAGGTAGATTCTTCCCACGTAACTCTGATTTGTAGGAAACATAATATATCATCCTAATGAAGAGAGCCTCTAACATGCGAAGGGATGAAAATTTTGTAGCATCTGTAAGTCCATGAGGTACTAGTCCAGATATGATTGTCAGTCTCAAAATTCAAATCATAGAAGTAAAACATTCATGTTCCTTATGTGTTCCCTTGTAAATTTTTTTATCCCTTTCCCAAAATTTACAAATTCTTTTACCCCAACAACAAACAAAGTAGAAGTACTGTGTTTCTGAGACATACATCTTAATTTTAGCAAAGAATCGCTACAATATGAAGAGAAGCAATGGTACACCTAGGTATGAGAATGCCTGTAAAGCATACATTGATGCATCAATATGAAAATTAATTAATCAAATTTTACTTTTCACTATTTCAAACTGGCTATAGAAATGGGAAAAAAATGGTTACCATCCATGCTGTTGGCTAATTGTGTAACGACTCGACTTTCCATCCCCTTTGTCGCTATTTCTCGCTTGGTTGCTATGGCATCGACATCATCAACAAAGAGGACACATGGGGCCAACTCCTGTTCAAACACAAATCAAAAGCAAAATAAAAAATACTTTTCAAATTTTTAAAGTATGTAGACATTGCTTCTTAAAAGCAAAAATAAAATCTCGTACAGTGAAGTATGGGCTTTGCACCGAATAAAACATTTTTCAAACATCTCTTTCAACTTATACATGTACATGTTAGTGAAAGAGATAACACTTTTAAATGGCATCGGTTGGTATTCATTCAAATGAAGGAATATCTGTTTCTGTTTGCTACGAAAATACTGAAATTGACTTAGGCATTCAATTTGATGAATACTGAAAACTAAGTAAAAACTAGTCAAAGGACAAAGCAAAAATAGAAATTCAAAATTATGGTCAGGAGAACGGGCTGGGTCTCGTTATCCCAACTTCCTCACACTGATCATCTCCTTCTCATACCCCAATCTCATATGGAACCACATATCACCACATCAAGGGAACATATTAATAATAATAAATTACATTGGGAGAAAAGGGAACATAGACAAGAAATCTTTTTAAAAGTCCTACAACTCTCAACACACAAACACATGAGATTACCGCTGCCTGTTGAAACAGCTCCCTTATATTAGCCTCTGAGTCTCCAGAGATCCCGCCCACCAGCTCTGTGGCCGTCATGCCAAGCAATGGCAGTTTGTATTCCTGTAAAAAAACAAAATGACATTTACACTGAGACTTACAGAAATAATAACATTAGAATGAAAATATACCTCTTTACTATGTATAGTCACAATAGTCCAAGACAGCCATTCATTGTCTAGGAGAAACCTTAGACAGGTGCACATCTAGAACAGTGTCATTATAACATAGACAAATCACAAGCAGAGAAGTGGGAAACGGTTGTTTGTACAGGTGATTGTCTTGGACAGCTGGCTATCTGAGCTGATTCAACATTATACTCTGAACGACTGACCAAACTTTTTGTGTCAGGAAGGTGGAAAGGGTCTGACAAATTCAGCTTATGAATTAATTAACACAGGTCTTACCCCTTTTAGGACCTGCAACATATTTAGAGAGCAAATTGTAAAAGCAGTAACACTAAAACAGACAGAGACGGGAGACAGTTTAATACATTAGTATAACCATCTAGTTCCATAAAATTATGGTAATGTCAATGACATGGAAGGGATGTAGCAGCAACCATAAGCATATCATCCTTAACTTTAGAGACATACAATGATACAATTGACAGCATCCCAAAACAAGACATTGTATTCCATGTGCATTTGGCACTGTCTAAAACGTATGTTTTATAAACCATGACTTATTGTTCAACCTGACTTAATGGAACGAGGAACAAAAGCAGTATCAGTGGTAAAAGAAATGGCTCACGTGTTAAAAAGTCTTCCTTTTGGTGCATACACCTTGAAAGATTCCCTTAACTCACCAAACTATATTTAAAAGAAAAATTCTCTTTTTTAAATTTTAGTATCACCACAAACATTTCCAATTCTGGATGCTGCTGCTGAATCATACATCAGTGAGCAAGCAAAATAACAGCCTCATTATGAAAACGACAGATTAAGATGATATCAGCAGTGAAAAGAACTAAGAACGACAATACTAGACCATCCATCAACATTCAAGAAAAGAGCTGGCTCCTACTTACTCCTGCTATAGCATTTGCTAAAAGTGTCTTTCCACAGCCAGTGGGGCCATGAAACAAGAAACTTTTCGGAACATCCCCTTTGATCTTTGGCAGCAGCTCCGGGTACTCCAAGAACTGGCAACGTTCCTCAAGGTGCTGAAAACAAAATAGTAGAAGAAATGGTATCCATTTCACAATTACAACCAGGAACTGCAAGGCTACGACTGACAATGGTGCTCTTCCATGTATGAGTTTATTGTTTCACTGTATTTGTAGTGGATTGTTAATTGTATATCTTTGAAGTTGTACAATCGCATAATAAAATTCACAAAAAGGGCAAAATTAAGAGATGACTGTGTTAAAGAGAACTTTCATCATCTTGAATAAGTTCTGTATGTAAGTAACCCTCACACATTTCATCATGCCTAAGACCTTTATGATAAAGAAAGGTACATCAACATGAAAAAGTCATTCTGTACTCTGTAAATCAAGACCAACAAACAACAACAACAGGGCAGAAAACTTTCTGACTTAGCGCTGTCCTCAACACTGGCAAGAACCTTCAAGTACTTGTATCCTTATTCTCATCTCTTTGTGGAGATCAATAACTTGCCATCTTATCTTACCTTTTGACACGTTAAAACTTACCTCTCTACTTGTTCAACTCTCAGAATGGAAATGTGCATACAAATATCTTTTACAAACTCTGTTCCAACCTAAGGCTCAGTATCTAATTATCACTTGCAGAAGAGCAAAATACTTTAAAGATAAATATACAATTTCAAGAATATTTTGGAACCACAGAACATACAAACAAACATGAAATAGTCATGACTAAATGTACATTATAGATTTATTACAAAGGTCTTACCTGTAAAATACTTTCATTTCCTCCAACATTTGCAAAAGTGGTTGTAGGATTAACAACTTGCCCTGAGAACAAAGTCATAATCTTGATAAAATTCTACATTCACAGAATCCATGCTGAGGTTATAAAAAAAAAATACTAACAATGGTAATAGACAGTTCATCTGGCAAGAGAACATAGAAGTTCCGGAAAACCACAGGCACAGGGATGGAAACTGATCAGTCCAACATTTAGTGAAAGTCAGAGAGAGAGAGAGAAAAAGAGACTGGGACAGAGAAAGAAAGAAAGAGAGAGAGAGAGAGAGAGAGAGAGAGAGAGAGAGAGAGAGAGAGAGAGAGAGAGAGAGAGAGAGAGAGAGAAAGAGAGAGAGGGACAGAGAGAGAGAGAGAAGAGGTGGGGGGAGGAGGGTTGATAAAGAGAGACAGGGGAGAATGGGAGATAGAGAAAGATAAAGAGACAGGAACAGAGAGAGAATGAAAGAAAGAAAGAATGAGAGAGCAGTACTTCCTGAGAACAGACAGGAGACATGACGTCAGGTCCCACTTATGCAAAATGAAGGAGCAAATCAAAATTATGGATTTTCATAAATTTACGGAACATTTCCATCCCTGACAGACAAACAATAATACACAAGGCTGAATATTATATTTACACCTGCTTTAACGGTCACCTGTCCAAGGCATTTACCTGTACAAACGACCACTTCTCACTTCCCCCCTTGCATTAAAAAAATATTGTAATGATACTGTCTAGGACATTTACCTGTCTAAGACAACCACTCCCCCCTTGACAATGGGTGGCCGTCTTGGACAGTTTCGACTGTATCCCACACAGCACAAGTGAGCCTAGACAGACATGGTCAAAGCAGTCTGCCTCCTAAATAATCAAATTGGATAGGCCTTAATATATTATGAGGAAAAGCCATCATCCGTAGACATCTGTAAAAATGATAACCTCTCTTTACTCTGCTCGGATGCTCTCAAAAGACCCAGAAGCCCGCCTCTTAAATGTTATAAACTGTGTCGATGAAGGCTTTAAAACACCTACATTAATTTTTTTGTTATAAAGGGATTAATGTACACAAACATTTAAGAGATAATGATTTGTGAAAAGTTACGGAAATGCATATTATAGTATGTAATCAGACAGTAGTCAAGAAAGGAAACAAAGAAATCCAACTACTTACTCTCTTTCTTCCTCTTTCGCGTGCCTTCTGGGGAGTCTCTGCGTCTTTTTTTGGGTCGTTCTTTCTTGTTTGGCTCTATCTCATCCTACGGAAAACAACGAGAAATTATCTCATACCTCAAAAATCAAATCTTACTTGAAGGCAGAGGATGAAGAAAAAGTTAAAAACCATTTTTACTCTTTCTCCCTCTACCCCTCATAGACCGGTAACAAGATTTGCCAATATACGAAGCAACCCTATACAAAAGCATCTTGAAACAGTTCCAAGAGGCCTTTGATTATCAAAAAGGCTGAATACACTGGAAAACGATTGGAGAAATTCTAACTCAGCCATACATCTTATTATTCAGAATGAGCGAAATGTTCATGATCCTGCTAAACAATAGGCAGACAAAAAAGGGAATTTCAAAATAATTTATTTTTTTCGGAAAAGTATGCATCATTTGAAGTAACTAATTGGAGGTAAGCTGATGCATAAACAAAAAAATGTTCACATCTTTGTCAGTATCTTAATCATAACATGTGCATTAGCTTTCACTTACCTGTTGACTTTCTCGCCCCCTCTCCACCTCAGACTGTCCTTCCTTTTGGTCACTCTGACTTGGCTTTTTGGCCGACCCGTCCTTCCCTCGGTCAATAAACCAACTCTGGGGCGTGCCACTGCGAGAAGCATCAGACCCAGTTGCCTGCCCATTCTGCACGTGTTTCTTTGTCGGAGTCTGCTGGGATGCACTTTCTCTAGCCATGGGAGACCCAGCCCCAGGAGTATTCTGTCTGTACATGCTGGTGATCATGCTGTTCATTATGTTCTTATCCTGGTTTCAGCAGAAAAGGAATAAAAAACAAACAAACAAAACAGCATGAACAAAAAAATAGAAATCATATTCAAGAAATGAAAAAAAAAAGAATAATACGGTAAAATCATAAAGACAGGGCGCATTCTAAATTTGGTTGACAACATGGGTCAGTTTTTTAGTTTTAGTAGAGGTTTCACGGTGCTCTCAACTGCATAAGGTCATATGAGCGCCAGAAGAATAAAGGTGTTACAAGAAAGTAACAAACATAAAAAAGAAGAAGGGGAGTCAAGGACGATAGATGTTTCATACGAAAGAAGAAGCAAACCACACCATAGCACCCGCCAACCACCCACACATGGGTCAGGAAAAAAAAAAGATACATGATTTGGAGTAAGGAATAAAGGTAAGACAGTCCTAGAGCATTACAAAGGCTTTGTTGAATTAAAAACTTTTTCCAAAAGAAAATGTTTATAATAATAATAACTGCATTTATATAGCGCATATCCAAGCTCTAGAGCATGCTCTAGGCGCTTTACAACTATTATTACCCCAGCAGACCCTCTGAGAACACTCAGAAACATTCTCTAAAATTCAAAACAAAAATCATGAACCTGTTAACCTTTCTTTCCCAACAAAAAGGGAAAAATTTCAGACATGATAGGGGTAAAGCATAACAACTAGGTCTTTAAAGAAAACATAATTCTGTGAAGTAGATTACTCTGTGTATCATCTCTGCATTATTTCTTCTTCTAAACTGCTACGTTGATTTACTAGAAGTTCCTTTTCATTTTTAAAACAAATCTGTTTTATGGCCACCATCTGGTTATGAACACCGATTTTGTAAATCATCTTGGATGTGTGACCTCTACCATTGAAAAATCCCCTTTAATGTTCATTCTTGACAACTTACTAATTAGACGAAAAGAAAAGACATTAAAATACCTCATATTGCACCAACTCAGAATCTGTATCACTGTCATCACTGAAACATATGAAACAGGATAATATTGTATTATGTAAAAAAAAGACAAAGACTTGAACAAACCTTAAATTTTTTCTGAAAACTAGGCTCACATTACAGAAAGCACCACAATGTAAGGAACGGGCAGAAGAGAAAAAGATCCACATCGGGATAAGGATAAGGGTAGGACGACATCATTGAGAATGAGGGGGGGTGAGAATGTGAGAAAGAGAGAGAGGGAGAGAGAGAGAGAGAGAGAGAGAGAGAGAGAGAGAGAGAGAGAGAGAGAGACAGACAGAAAGAGAGAGAGAGAGAGAGAGAGAGAGAGAGAGAAAGAGAGAGAGAAAGAGAGAGAGAGAAACAAAGGAGAAATCCACGGACCAAACACAAGAAAATCAAAACATCAAGCCTGTCCAAGATGACCACCCACTGTTGAGAAGAGAAGTGGTCATCTCAGACAGGTGGTCTTCTTGTTTGTTTGTTTTGAGTATGAGAAGCACATCGAAACAAAGATGGTAATTTAGTGCTGGGAAAAATCAAGACAGACTGAGACAATGGAGGGAGAGTAAAAAAGCAGGACCTACCAGTGGTGCCCTCCAACCACTTCTGTGATTTTCTTTGAAAGTGTCATAATTAAAAAGAAACAAAAAAAACAAACAACAAAGGTGGAAAGGGGGGGGGGAGTTGCTGTTTGTGCACATGATTGTCTTGGACAGGTGGTCATTTGAGCAGGTCCAACTGCAGATAAACATACTTTAAAACTCAATACCACCATATAGCAAAAAGAAAAATATAGGATACACATTACCTTGCATCATCTCCCTTTGAGACAAAAATGCCTTCTTTCTCCAACTCTTTAGCAGCAAAAGAAAATCCTGCAAAGAATGCAGACCAAAATAAGAACTTTTACCATAACATATTTGATCTTATTTTTTCAAAAGGCTCTCTTTGGCACAAGACAGTACAATATTTGACAACTTTTCTTTTTAACGAAAAGGGTAGGGTCCTCCTATCTCTTTAATCAATTTGCAATCTGTGTCATATCAACCCAAAGCAGGCAATACATATTAATGTACATGTATGACCATGCACTCTAAGCTTTGACAGTCTACAAAGTACTCAAAACTAAGAACAGAATTCAAAGCACAAATTCCACATAACCCTCACAAAAGATAAGGTTAAATCTTAATGGAAATTGACTGTCAGTACTAAAGGAGATAAAACAAAGATACACAATACCTTTTTCCACTGACTTCAGGAAAGCATTTTTCTTCTTTCTTGCATATATACTGTTGAAAAATAAATAAAAAGCATCAAATCATAAACAGAAAACATTTTCTTTAAAATTTGAGTTATCTGTAGTACTCAAGATTTACAACCAAACCTTTTAAATTTGAAAATGTATACTTGTGCAATGTGCAGCTCCACACACACACAGACTTAGGCTCGAGTATGAATGAGGTGGAAGTCTTACACAGTAAAAAATAAAGACCATAAACTGTACAAGGCAGGCGCCATGATAAATGGAAATAACAGCAATAAAGAGAAGAAGCCATCAAAGAGCCAGCTGAGGCTAAACACTTGAGTGATTAAAATCAATATAACACTTTGTTCATTTGTTACTTACAGTGAAATGAACTGCGATGAACTGTGCTGTCATGGAAGACAGAGACTTAAAAGGAAGTAATTTTTTTAAAACTCAAAATCAGTATCAATAGATAGTGCACTGGGGAAATATTAACCATGATATCAAAGATGACATTTGTAGGAAAATATGCAAAGGAGGATTAGAACTATTCTTGAATGGCACTTGTTTCAAAAAGGCAAACATTTCTATCAGTGAGGAATGCAAGAAAGTCTATGGGCACACGTCAGAATTTTAGAAAGCCATTCTTACTGTTGGTAAACCAGACAGCTCTGTTCGGCCCCTCATGGTCTAAAGGTATGGTCTTCGCCTCTCATCCAATCGGTCCTGGGTTCGAAACCTGATAGACAAGTTCTGTATCTGCTTTCATCTCCATTTTCTCTTCCCCTTCCCGCATGTCTCTCCTTTACTCATGACTCTTTCTACTGCATCTTCTGACACCTCCTTACAGCTGTTTTCAACCATGCCCCTGATTTTATGGCAGTAAGATTGAACATCTAGCCTTCTCGGATAAGGGTGAAAAATCTCACATGTCCTGTGTGCTAGCTGCGCATGTTAAAGATCCTTTGGTGGTACCAGGGTTGGTTGATTTAAATCAGTTTTTTTAAATATTTAAATCAACCTGATTTTTAAAAATAAAAATCAGTGATTTAAATCACTTTTTAAAAATTTATTTTTATTCAGTTTTTAACATATTTCAACATTCAGAATTCCTTTCCTTGGTTTTATAAAACAGATATAAGGTTTAGTAGACTAATATAATAATGCTTAAAAGTCTGCTTTCCCCCTTTTCACTGTAAAATAATACAGTATTCAATTTTTTTTTTCTTCCATAATTGAAATCAGAGCTGGGTTGTTTTAAATCAGTTGATTTTTAAAAACTATTTTAATCTACTTGGATTTTAAAAATAAAAATCAGTGATTTAAATCACTTTTTAACAAATGTATTCAGTTTTTACATATTTAAACATTCAGAATTCCTTTCCTTGGTTTTATTAAACAGATAGGTTTAGTAGACTAATATAATCATGCTTAAAAGTCTGCTTTTCCCCCCTGTCACTGTAAAATAATACAGTATTCAATTTACTTTTTTTTCCTAACTGAAATGAGGTTTGGGTTGATTTAAATCAGGTCGATTTAAATCAGTTGATTTAAAAATAATAAAACTCAGTGATGTAAATCACTTTTTTTTAAATGTATGTTTTTACATCTTTAAACATTCAGAATTCCTTTCCTTGGTTTTATAAAAAATATAAGGTTTAGTAGACTAATATCATGCTTTAAAGTCTGCTTTCCCCCTGTCACTGTATAATAATACAGTATTCAATTTACTTTTTTTTCATAATTGAAATTAGCATTTTCTTTTTCTTTTTAGACAAACACAAGCGGGCACACACACACACACTGTATTAAAATGCAAGTTTATCTATGCATAATTACCCCCTCCCCCCCTTCCTTTTAGACTGACATTTTCTTCATTTTTTGTCTGTAGCCATAATTCACTGATATAGCAGATTAAGGCTTTCTAAAAAATTTGCAGTTGCTTAAATTAATCATTAGTTAAAATAAAGACAATGCATTTTGCACTAAAAGAACATACTTTTAGCGTCCAAAAATCCCAAACTGAGTCGACATTTTTTTAAAAATAAATTTTTTTAAAAAAATCTGGTTTAAATTTAAAAAATCTGATTTAAATTTTAAAAATCGATTTTAAAAATTTTTTTAAATTACCAACCCTGGGTGGTACTAAAATTCATTAAAAAATAGGCTTTACCCGACGCATGAGCAAATTCGAAATTAATTCCTACCAAAACTGAAAATATTCTAGTCAGTATAAAAACACCAAGAGTGCTCTGAAATCAAAATGTGGCTGTCTGAAGCCAAGGAACCCTACAACAAAGGAAAAACAGTCGCATACGTAAAATCAGTAACGCAAAATGTTGAAGAACCAGCAGTTGATTAACCCTGAGATCTAGAAGTGGATTAGTGGAATGAAGAAAAAAAGAGGAGAGAGAGCTCTGAAAAATTTCTGACATAAAATTTTTTTTTTTAAATAAACCGTTTTACTTTCTGAACAGTGCACAGTTCAATGTTATATTCATAGTGTGAGGAGTGCATATAATGTGACACTCGTTTTGAGGAAGTGTAAGATCAGACAAAGACATCATGTTACCGCCTGAATCCTTCTCATCAAATAGATAAAGTAATAAAGAGACTATAATTACAGCCTGTAAAAAGCATTACAACTTTATTCAACAACATTGAAAACTCAAAAGAAAGTTAGCAAAGAGACTACTTTCAAAACTGTAATGATGACTTAAATCACCTGTGTTGGGACTGAAGCTCTTCTGCAACTCTTCCTACACTGATTCTTCCATTGTGTGCCTTGATGACCTAAAAAGAAAAAAAATTCAGGTTAACTGCAAAAAAAGGATGCATACTTGAGCAATAAGGCATACACTCATTCATTATGATAACACATATTTTGATCAAATTCCCACTTTTTGTTCTGGCAGGTGATAACAGACCAACACCCAAGATATCAGGAGAACTCTTGAAATTTTCAGGCGTGGTGGTCAAGTGGACAACAGCAGCACAATTGAAAAGCAATACATAATAAATTTATAAGCTTTTTAAAAAGCACAAGTTCCTAATTCAGAAACTCAAAAGTGTTTCCACTCAACAGCCTATAGAATCAGATTATTAAATACTGCAACCCCTCTAAATAACACACTTCTCTGCACAGACATACCTATGTTACAAAATTTGCATAAATATATCGTCTCAGCATTATTTCTTACTTCTTTTCTGTTCACTATGAAGCTAATGCTCCAAATCGATAATTACCTTTTTCCCCCCAAAGGTCAGAACTTTCCATGCTATGTCTATTCATATGATGTGTTAATTGTGCAAACCAACACTAGACATCAAATTGGTAGTTTTAGCATGAAAGAAAGCTACTGAAAAATAGTAACTTTAATCATTGAGCAGAGTGATCTTCCAATTAATCAGTTCATCCACGGGTTTTCGACTTCTGTCAGCACCAAAACAATACAATGCTTCTTGCAGATTTTCCTTGCTGAAATTGCATGTTGTGTATTTTTCAAAGTGGGTTAAAAGCTGACTTCCCAAAGCAAAAATATGTAAGGAGACGACAAGTTATCGAGTTACCTGTGAAAAAGGAGCATTTAAACTTCTAATACCCTAGCTACCCTAGCCCCATCATAATGATCTTATGTGTTGCGCTGCAGATGGCTTAAAGCGGCTGATCTAGAATTTGGTGCCTGGACCATTTACCATCACTGAAAATATCTTTTCAAATGTTCACAGCTTACTGCCATATTGCACTGGCTTTGTTTGCAGAGTAATATTTTTAGTCGTTTTTTCCTCTGGACCTGTTAAGCCTGTTTCAAGTCCAAAGTTACTTGAGACAGAGTGAACTGTCTTGTGTGCAGATAGAGTAGTTTTAGGGGAGCTTGAAATAGGGCTAGGGCAGTATGAGGCTTACTTTGACTCGTAGTCTTACTTTACTACCGAACCCAGCAAGGCAAATGTGAATAAAACATGCAGATCTGCAAGATTGAGCTAGATTCTAGATTTACCACACTTACTAAGTCACAGAGTACAGGGGAACATTGTGCTCTTACTCTTACACTTCTATTTGTGATTGTACCCTAAACCTCTACCAACCTGTTTAATTCTCGGAACGAGGCGATCATCAAGAAAATAGTTTGGCTTTGGCATCACGATAACAAATCTCTTGACACTCCCAGACTTTTCTCTTCTCACGTGTGAATGTTTACGTCTCAGTCGTTATTTGCAAATTACAGAACTTAATAATTTAAGACTGCTCTCCCTTGTTTATTCTTTTAAACTGTCAAGAGAACGTTCGCAGTCTTAATTAAAATTATCTTCTCCCAGGAAAATGCAAGATACAAAATTTGAAGTAATAAAACTGATTTATGCTCACAAAATTATTAAAAGCTAAATACGTGTAATAAAAATGTAGAGAACGGTAAATAATATATTTTTATTTGTTTGTGACAAATCAAGGTTGCTGTTTGGGTAGAAAGAAAAACTCCGACATGGGCAGACCACGATCTACCTATGCCGATTTGGCTGATTAGCTATTTTGTACATGAACAAGTTATAACAGTTAGTCTGTTGTTGTTGATGCCAGCCCTTTGTGACACAAATGAGTAAATGTGCATTCTTGTTACAAATCTTTCGAAATTGCATAATTTCTTTTTTTTCCAAAGCTTTTGAAAAATATCTGAATCTTTCCCAAAAAAAAACCTTCAGTTAATATTGCTTTTGGTTGGTTCATATAGATCTAATACCTGACTAGCAAAACAACATGGCGACCTTCAATGTTGTCATGCGTTTCCTAACGAAAGGACAACAAAGTGCACACCGGTGCCTATTGCAGAGTACAGATGTTAGGAATTTTAGCATAATTAGCAAGGTTCAGGCTAAACAAAGTTATAAATGTTTCCAATTCCAGAGATGTTTGTCGCATTTTCCTCGACGGCTTTCGTTAATAGCGGTTATGCCGGCATCACAAGTGCCATTGCTGCAGTTGCATCAACAAGTTCATCGACGCAAAGTCTCACCTCAGTTTGCACCCTTGAAACCGACGCAAAATTTGCTGTATTCTAGGTTAAATTCTTCCACATCAAAGCAAGTTACCCCTCGAAACAAAGCAGAACAGTCAGGTTTGGAAGCAGGTGTAAATAAGGATCAAACTGGAGATGCTGCGGACTCTGGTCAGCCTGGTGAAGAAAAATCAGAAACCAAGGAGTCGTGGTGGAGAGGAAAGAACTCATGGCGGCTGGGCTTAATTTTCTTAGGAAGTGCCTGCATTACTTGGGGCGTAGGATTAGTGACCACATGGGGTAAGAAAATAGATAAAATTCTAATTTTTTGTCCTCGTAGTCATACTAATCTAGATCTAGAGTCTAGATCTAGATCTAGATTAGTCTAGATCTTAATCTAGATCTAGATCTAGATCTAGATTAGTAAAGTATAGTAGTGATTCGTCCATCATAGTATTGTAATGGTTTACTCTAGAGATCATTATATAATTTCTAGTTTTCATCTGTTTTTGACTCTTCCTGTAAAATTTTATCCTCTGTAACTGTGCCTTTACAGCTTTGTTTATGCTGACATACGACTAAACGTAGAACGACGCAAACTATTTTTAGGCAAGGCGGCCATCTTGTGTGCATCAGACCGGGATACCCCTCCAATCACGTGACTACATGATCTAAACATAGCCAACTGCATGGCACCACAGATCGTGCACACCTACCTTGGCACGACGTTAGGTGCGATGTTTTTCCAGGAGACGTACCGGTAATATATGATATAATGCAGTGCTCCGATCTGCTGCTTATCTCTTCTGCGCATTGTTTATTGGGCCGGGGGGGGGGGGGGGATCTTCAGGGGTATTTATGATTTAAGTGCACTTTATTGTCTTTGCGTTTACGTTACGTGTTTCAATTTCAAGCATCAGCGTTCTTACTGTTCTGAGCATCAAGGTTATTCTATCACCAAAGCATGGCTGACGCGCTGCAGTTAGCTGCAAGTGTGAAATTTTATCGTGCGAAACACATCGATACGGATAATAGGACATAATTGGTCAAGCCACTGACCCAACATGTCGTTCCATGCGGTATCTCCAAAGATCTTGTAGTGTGTAGTGTTGTAGAGAATCTTTGGTAACTCTGCGGCCTTATATAATTAGTCTGTGGGTATCCCAGGAAGTGATGACATCGCATTACTAAAATTAGTAGCCAATCAGGAAGATGCATTATTCTACGTTTAGTCGCATGTGTTATACTGTTATACTGCACTTCTGTAAAACTGTTCCTGGGCTTCAACATTTTTGCAGGACTATTATTTTGTCTCATAGTCACCAAATTACCTCTCAAAATGAAAATTGTCAGCAGCAGTTGCATTGAGATTTTTAAAATGCAAATATAAAATGCCCACTTATTTTGCTTTGTTTTAGGCCTGGATAATTTAACAGTGTCAAAGTAGGTTGTTTTTTTAAAGTCCTCTTTTGTGTAGAATGTGGGCAGTGATCTGATAGGTTTGACTCTCTATACAGTCCAGCCGGCCCAAGGCGAACGCGCGCATAAGGAACAGATTTTTAGATCTGGAATATTTTCTTTTACATGTTGATGCTTCGTAGTATAATTAAAAACGTCATAGCAAAATTCTGTATGAAATTGACATTTCGTTATCTTTTATTTTGAAAATGTTCTTTTCTAAAAAAAACAAATATAGTTTTAATCACAGATTTGTTGCCATAATTTTTCAGGAGCCCCCCTTCTTGACCCAGATGGAAATGAGGTGAGGGAAGTACTTAATTTAATTTTTTGCAGTTATGACACATAAAACGTATGACTGTACATTTGGGGGGGGGATTCATTTTGTGTAGTCTGACCATTTGAACCATGGAACTGAAATGTTCTCACGTTTGCTTTTTCAACATCCTAATCTGCAGGACCTTCAACTGAGGGTTGGGTTTTTTTCAGAGGCACTGGTCTATAGTTAATGTTGACAATGCTTCTTTAAATTGCATTTATGAATGGTAAATCTTAAATGCTAATGTTCAAAATAAGCTATTCTCTTTCTCATAGGACAAAAATTTAATTTAATATATGATTGTAAGAAGAAATAGGTCAAATTATATTTCTGGTTTGTTTAGCCTTAAACTTCCCATATTCTTGACTTGAAAAGATACTGTTCCTTGTGTTTCAGATTGAAGATGAGTTCACAGAACGTAAGTAGAAAAAATATACTTTTAAAAAATAGTGCTACATTTTAATTTATTTTTTTTGATTCTCAATGTAACAGCAACTACCATATTTTAAGATTTGATTTTTCTTTATTTTGTTTTAGAAAGATTCACATACATGCTTTGAAGATTTGAAGTGAAGGATACTGCTCGATGTATAAGATAAATTAGAGGCAAAATGGGTTATAAATAAAATAAACTAACATTGCCGTGGAGGTTCCACCGCATGGAAATTTGCGTTGGTCATATGGCTGCGAGTATGCATATGAGGTAGTTATCAACCGTTTAAAAAAAACTCTCTTCATCGCCAGGTAACACCATACTTCACAGCCTTGCAATAAGTGGAAACTTTCCAAGTGTGCATGGGGTCTAAGTGCTAGTTATTGTAGCGGGTTTTCAATCTGACTGATAAGTTTGTTCCCTGGATTGTATTGTTCTTTTGGTTGACTCTGTCCTGATGTACATCCTCTGACGTGTTGTTGATAACAATTTTATCGTCATGACTTGAATCAAGTTGAAAAGAATGACTGAAAGAAAAAGTCTCTTCTTTAAAGATTTCATTTTCTGAAAAGACTCTTTGCATTACTTAAAATTATTAGTTTTCTATGAATGTCCAAAGTCTAGATTATTCTTTATGTTAATTTTGTATATATTACCTGTATTATTACCTGTCCTGGGCAACAACGTCATTGCACACCGGACATGTCCATAAGTGCTCAGTTCCTCTCCGCTCCAAAGCCCACAAGGTATCTGTACTGATTGTTCCAGTGGCTGTTTGATTATGGCGAAGTCTTTCCTTTCCAGATAATCGTTCCTTTCTTCCTTTTCCCCTCTCTATCCCCATTTCCCGCTTCCTGATGATTGCGTGGTGTTCTACTGTCTCCCTGTCTTCCTCATCCCGCAAGTTATATTTTGAATATTTATACAAGTTTAATGGTGATGTTGATAGTGCTGTGAAAAACTGTACCTTTTGAAAAGGTGGGCACAGTAAAGGAGTTGATAAGCAATCGTTGCTTTGTTGTTTTTAAAAAAACATGCTCTGGGTATGATGTTGCTGGTGACAGGTATTTTTACTTGTCTGCGGTTCCTCTTGATTCGTATTAATGAGGTATACTATGTACCTTTTCAGAGCCTGCGGCTTTGGCATACCTCAAGAGAACATGGAAGGAAATGAACATTTTCAAAAAGGTTGGTAGCAAATCTGTGCTTTAATAGGCTTACAGACACATCCAGATGTCTAATTTCTTTTTATGACTGTCTTTTGTATTAAAGTACAGACTGGTCATAGATAGCTGGACATTCAAAAATGATTGCTGGGGCATAGCTGATTTGTGGCTCTTTATAAGGTTTGAAAAGTTTAGGTTTGATCTATATGCAGGCTTAAGTTATGAGGTTGTGTTTTTTCATCTATCTTTTTCTGGGGATTTTTTCACAGACCAGTGTTCCAATGGGGAGGAGCCAATGTTACACTCTTTTATTTTGTATTCTTTAGCACAATTTTATTAGTATTTTTTCAAACTTGAGAATAAGAGAAATGAAATATCAGATTTGTGACCTTTTATGTTAAGCAATGTTTCGGACTGTATTTGAGGTAATTTTTGTTTTGAAAAAAATAGTTTAAATCTCTTTTTGCAGTGATAAGGCCAAACATTTGATTCATTATATTATATATTATTGGGCTTGTGCATATGATTGGAACTTGGAAGAAGTAGAGATAAGTTGGACATGTAGTGAGACAGTTTTAAAGAACATGTTCGATGCTTTAGGACTTTTATTCAATCTTTGTGGCAGTGAAAAAAGATTTCAGTGATTTCAGATTCAAGGATAAATGGGAGAAATTTCCTCAACTGACATGGAGAAAGGTTGTTATTGCTCATTGCAAGAGCTGCTATTAGATGTAGTGTATGGCAAGTCATTATAATGAAAGCGACATTTTCACCAGTCAGCAACAATTAAGTGAATAGTGATGTGTATTCTGTTCATGAAATCATTGATGGATAAATATTTATATGCGACTTCCATAATTCCTAAAGATTTCATTGTTAAAATGTGGGCACCTATATGTTTGCCATGGAATGCAATGAAAAGAAAAAAAAGACTTATGTGTTAGCAGCCCACCCTTCCTGTGATCATTTTCACTTTTCTGAATAAGTTACTGTATTGAGCTTTGCTGATGCTCAAGCCATATTATCAACAGTATAATAGTGCTGTAATTGGGAATAAACAGGTCTTTTTGTGTTCACTGTTCATGACTTACGCATAGTCTTTTAAGCTAATTTTATTTATTTATTTTTCCAAATGTAAAAACTTTTTTTCTGCTGATGTTTTGAGGAGTATCACTAGTATGTCAGACTCCTTTAACATTCTTTGTTGTTGTCATTTTTTTTTTCTAATATGAATGTCAATGTGATAATGAGCTTCTCTTTACCTGAAAAGCATTTAATGTATTATTATTTTAGAAAATTCAAGACCCCTCGAGAGAAAAGCTTCTTCCAGACCCCCTCAAGTACCCATACATCCAGCCTCCCTACACACTGGTCATTGAGCTCACAGGTGTACTTATCCACCCAGACTGGACGGTAGGATATGATGAATTGATCATTCTGAAATTGAGACCTTCTTTTCTTAATTGCTTGACATCAATAATTTAGTGTAGTCCTGCCTTGGCACTCCTTTGTTCTTTTCTTTGTATCTTTTAGTACGTATGTTTCATTTGTCTTTCTGTTGTATTTGTTCTTGACGTTGTTGTTATCGATCAGTCTAGTAGGAGCTTTCACTCTTCTGTTCAATGCCATGAATGAAGCAGGGTTGGGTTGATTTAAATCAGTTGATTTTTTTTATTTAAATCAACTTGATTTTTTAAATAAAAATCAGTGATTTAAATCACTTTTTAAAAAATTATTTTTATTCAGTTTTTACACCTTTCAACATTCAGAATTCCTTTCCTTGGTTTCATAAAACAGATATAAGGTTTAGTAGACTAATATAATCATGCTTAAAAGTCTGCTTTCCCCCCATTCACTGTAAAATAATACAGTATTCAATTTACTTTTTTTTCCATAATTGAAATCAGAGCTGGGTTGATTTAAATCAGTTGATTTTTTAAATTTTAATCAACTTGATTTTTAAAACAGTGATTTAAATCACTTCTCAAAAAAATGTATTCAGTTTTTACATATTTAAACATTCAGAATTCCATTCCTTGGTCTTATTAAACAATATAAGGTTTAGTAGACTAAGATAATCATGCTTAAAAGTCTGCTTTCCCCCCTGTCACTGTAAAATAATACAGTTCTCAATTTACTTTTTTTCATAATTGAAAACCAGGGTTTGGTTGATTTAAATCAAGTCGATTTAAATGAGTTGATTTTTTAAAATTTAAATCAACTTGATTTTGAAAATAAAACTCAGTGATTTAAATCACTTTAAAAAAATGTATTCTGTTTTTACATCTATAAACATTCAGAATTCCTTTCCTTGATTTTATAAAACAGATATAATAAGGTTTAGTAGACTAAAATAATCATGCTTAAAAGTCTGCTTTCCCCCCTGTCACTGTAAGTAGTAAAATAATACTGTATTCAATTTACTTTTTTTTCATAATTGAAATTAGCATTTTCTTTTTCTTTTTAGACAAACACAAGCGCGCGTGCACACACACACTGTAATAAAATGCAAGTTTATCTATGCATAATTACCCCAACCCCGCCCTTCCTTTTAGACTGACATTTTCTTCATTTTTTGTCTGCAGCCATAATTCACTGATATAGCAGATTAAGGCTTTCTAAAATTGCACTTGCTTAAATTAATCATTAGTTAAAATAAAGAAAATGCATTTTGCACTAAAAGAACTTACTTTTAGCCACCAAAAATCCCATACTGTGTCCACGTTTAAAAAAAAAAAAAAAAATCGGATTTAAATTTAAAAAATCTGATTTAAATTTAAAAAATCGATTTTTTAAATTTTTATTTAAAAAATCAAAAAAATCACCAACCCTGGAATGAAGAGATGTTTTCAGGTTGTCTTTAATTGGGTGAGGTAAAGGTATGTGGAAAGGGGTCTAAGTTTGGTTTGGCTTGTACCTTCTGACTTCAGCCTTCTGCTCTATTTCCATGATGTCACAGATCTGGTAATTGTCTCAACTTTGTTTATGTTTAACCCTTTGCTTGCTTACCCCCCCCCCCAAACAAATCCCCATTGTATCCGCAAGACTTGTGTACTTGAGAACTTTTATGTTGGTGGCTAGGTGTACATACCTCGCACTGAAGTACAGTAGTCTCCGCCTAAACGCACGCCATACAAAAGCACGCTCCGCTCAAACGCACGCTTTCGTCATCTGACGGGTTTTTTACTATTTAATTTAGACGTACAAATGCACGGTCACTCCCTCTAAACACACGCTCCGATCCGCGAGACAAGTTAAGCTTGGCAAGGGGAAATTTTCACTACAACCTGCACAGCCTGCTTAAGACAAGCCTAGAATTTACTAGAAAACCGGATATTTGGTGAGAGTGCCCCTCACGCTGTACCAAGAGAGTAATGGACAGCGTTTACCCTACTTTTCACTGACGCATAGGTCTCGATCTAGCGCTGGTCAGCTAAATGTTGGGAGGGGGGGGGTTGGGGGGACTGAAATGTTTTTTGATCGGTCACTGGAAATGTATCTTTGAGAGAAGGTTTCTGACTGGTGTTTGAGAGACTTCGTGTAATGTTTAGTTAGATCTAGGCCTGATGCACGACACGCGTGAATGCCGTAAAACACTAGACGACCCTCTATAGGATTTTAAAGATTAGCCAAGTAAGCCTAATCAGCTGTACTCGAAGAACTTATAACGTACTTGTTCAACGAATTACAGGAGAAAATGTTTCTCGGGGATGATTCTGCATGAATTTACGGTCGGGGGTGATCGCTTGGAAAGCCACGTGGCTGGTCCGTCGTCTCTATGACTATGACCAACAGTTTCCTCTTGGGCTATCTGTTCCCGACGTTTACAGTGCATATTCATTACACTGAGTTTGTCTTTCTCCCCCCCCCCTCCCGCCCATAACCCCTGTCGGGGAATCCTTCACAAAACAGTCACGTGTCGTCACATTATCTGCCAAAACAACCCCCTCCCAAACAAGGGAGGTCACTAGAGTAATAAGGAATTGAGATGACTGCGTCCCTTCCTCCCCTTGCAAAGGTTCATGTAAACGCACGCTCCGTATAAACACACGCTTAGGAGCCCTCCCGAGCACCATGCGTTTAGGCGGAGACTACTGTATGCATTTGGTGCAATCAGGTGTGCATTTGGAAACATAAGGTTTAACTAATGCTTATGGCTTTATGCAATCTGCAACTTGAGAAGCAAATTATGTACTGAAAAAGGAAGCAATGTTGACTAGGGAGAATATTTGGATATTGGCTGGTCATTGTTAAATGTGTTCATGCGAAAGATGAAACTGAAACTGAAATGGCTGAAAGTCATCTTCATGTTGTAATCTTTATTTTTGTTGGGGGGGGGTTTGCTTTTGATCCTCAGTACAACACTGGATGGCGCTTCAAGAAGAGGCCTGGCATAGACTACTTTCTGTCTCAAGTTGGACCACCATTGTTTGAAGTTGTTATCTATTCTTCAGAGTCAGGCATGGTGAGTTGAAACTGGGTATACTTTTTTCTTGCTAATTATCTATTCATGCTATTCCTGTTCTTTAGGGGAAGGGTGAGGGATACAACTCTGTTTATATATTGTGAGAGATTTGATGACAATTACTGCTGTCTTTTTTAGCTGCTGCAAAAATATTCCATTCCTATGTTCATGTGTTGGAGTAATGTTTGTGCTTATACCTTGATGTATTCTGCTCAAACATTGCTGTCTTGAAAGTCACTGCTGATGATGGCATTTATGGAAGCCAAATTTGTATTTGCTGCATTTTTAAGTCTATATTTTTAATATCTTCTTCTGCCTTTTAAGTCTGGGTGATTTTTTTGGGGTTTATATCTTGCCTTTTCCTTGCCCTAAATGACTATTACTCTCTTGATTTACCTCACTTAAATGAGCGAGCAAGAAAATAATATTTGGTCCTCTTCATCATTGGTTATATGTTTGCAGTCCAGTTTCTCCTCTAGCTGTCCCTGTGGTTTTATTCACCCTGCCTAATTTAGCAAAATTTGATCATTTTTTGCATAATTTCTGATTATTTTCCTTTATCATTCTTTGTTAAAATTAACAGAATCACATAATTTCACATTTTTTAGCTCAGTTTGCATTATTTCAGAATTGTTCTTTCATAAAACGACATGGACAGCTATAGAAAGCTGTAGAATTCATTTTTTCTTCTTTAATTTCTCAACAGTATATTCACTTTAAACTTAAATTTTGGTCTTTATCTCAACAACTTTCAACCTTAATTTATATTTTGCTGTGTGTGGCATTGTTTTGAAATAAATTTGTGTAATTCTCATTTTGTCTCATGAATAGAAAATGTGTAGAAGTTAAGATAGATCAATTTTATTGGGTGAAATAAGAAAGTTGGTAGTGGACATTAATGGCAAGCAAGCAGTGTGTACTACACTGTGTGTGAAAAATAATATAGATGTGTGTGAACACAAGTACACACAGCTATGGATTGCACCCACTTAAATCACAACACAGAGATTCATCCTTCTTGCCTTCTACCTTGATAGTATTTTACACACAGGCTCTCAGGTCAACAGCGCATCCAGTTCAATAAAATGTTTGATTTTGCTCTGCACAATCACAGTGCTGATGGAACAAAATGTTTTTGTTCTTGAAGTCAGTATGTTCGAATGTACATGTGGCTTTCATGTTTTATTTTTTTAAATTTTCAGACTGCTGACCCTCTTGTGAGTCATCTGGACCCTCAGGGTTTCATTATGTACAGACTTTACCGTGATGCCACACGCTACACAGAAGGCCACCATTTGAAAGTGAGTTGCTGTGATGTTGGTCCTTTTTTATGGGGGTACTGGGGTGGGAGAAGGGGGTTGTCTTTTCATATGCTGTTTTATTTTTCTAAATCAGCCTCTTTAGAGCAAATGGTCTGAATTGTACAATATAATTGAGTGAATATTGTTCTCTCAACTCAGTTTCCTCATGGGTGACTAAGGGTGCTGCCTTTGAAATGCATATTGTTTTTTCTAGAACCGGGTCAAACTTGACTGAGGCTGAATGTCATTCTTCAGTGAAGTGTACTGCTACTTTCATGAGAAAAATGATCAACCCAGCTTTTCAGAGAAAGCAAAACATTTCTGAGCTCCTCATTTCTCCATGTTCTTCCATCCTGTTTTCTATCTTATGGATTGTCGGCTGCAGTCTCTGGGTAGTGGGGGGTATTCAAGGAGGAAGGAGACTTGCTTTGATGCTTTGTTAATCACAAGTCAGTAGCAAGATTTTGTTGCAAGTAATTGGTGATTTCCGATGATTTGCTTCTGCTGTCTGCTTTTTCTGATTGCCAGGTTGTAGGGTGCTCTGGTCTCGTCAGTTTCTTTTTACTTTTATCATCCTTATCTCTCCCTCCTTCTTTTTTTGTGTTTGTTACTCTCTTGCAACACCTTAATCTCCGGCCCCTATAACTTATATGACTTTATTGCATTGCAAGTGCTGTAAAACTCTTACTAAAACTAAATACATAACTAATGTTTTTCCCTCCCAACAGGATCTGTCATGTTTGAACCGTGACATGTCACGCATCATTATGCTGGACTGCAACAAAGAGTCGGTCAAGCTGCAGCCACGAAATGCTTTTGTGCTGAGCAAGTGGAAAGGCGAGGACGAGGACAGGACTCTGATAGATTTGGCTCATTTTCTCAAAAGTAAGGGGCTAGCAGAACTTGTCACAGTGAACATTGAATAATAGCGTAATACTAAAAGTTTTACAACGTAACTCATTTTCCTCCGTATTCTCAATGTAAATTAAGTTCTAGTTTATGCCGTAATAAGTCCTTCATGAAACTTATTATCTTGAAAGCTGTTGAAGAAATTTTTGTTTTTTTATTTTGGTAATTTAAATGCTAAATGTGTGGCGTGCTGACAAAATGAGTTACTTCTCGCAATCCACAAATGGGAGGTCAAATTAGTAGATCTTCTATTGATGCTCTATTTTTTATGTATAACATGCCGCTTATTATTTCATATTTATAGATTGCAAAACTTTACTTATAAGCATGACGTTTCTATTTCCATAAAAGGTTTGAATCTCAGAAGGGACCCATTTTGTCAGCACACTTCACAAATGTATATTTAAAAAAGTTTAAGTTCTAGTGGGTTATATTCTGCTCATTAACAACTATTCTACTTTAACATTCATCAAAATAATAAGAATACAATTTTGTTATGTTAGTGTTGCTACCAACTTTGCCTGTGTAGCTTGGGGGTGTTAAAAATCAAAAGTAGATTATCCGGTTATTAATAGGGGATCCGTTCCCTTTGTGATGTAGGAAAGGCTTCTTTTCTCCATTCTTACTTTGTCTTTTGTCCGACTGTCTTTTATGCCAATCTGTCAGTTGAGAGTCTCCCAAAAGTCCTCAGTTGGAGGCCTACTGTGAGGTGGCCTATTTGTGCTCTGTAATTTGCTCGCCTGATACCAAAGTTTAAAGTTCTTGTTTTCACCTCCCAAAAATGTACTGATTTGGTCTTGTTGAGTTTCAGTCTTAGCAATGGTGTTCATTAACTCTAAATGTGCTGCTCTCGTTGAACCAGCTCAGAAAATTTGGAAAAAAAAAGTGACTGGCTAGTGCCTGCATTCCAACTCAATGCTGATTGAGATGGAGATAATTAATGATTGCATGTACATGTTAGTCAATCTCATCAATCTGAATTTAAAACTCAACTAATCTTGGGTTCTCCTTTTCCCTCAGCTGTTGCTGCAAGTGGTGTTGATGACATCCGCCCGGTGCTTGACTACTACCATCAGTTTGACGATCCGATCGCCGCCTTCAAGGATAACCAAAGGAAACTTCAGGTAAAATGGGACACTGAGTGTTCGTCACACATACACATAAAAGCACACACACAAACACACACACACTCACCCACATACACTCACACAAACATGCTCACATGCAGCACACGCACACACACACACACACATACACAAGCACACATTATGAACTCATTTCTCTGCTGGCAAGTGTATGGCCTCTCTCTACCACAATGCAAGGGAAAGGAGATCAGTGACGAGACTATTATAGACTGGATTATGTTTTTCTTATTTTTAACATTTTTTTTGTAATTCCACCTCCTTATTGATATAACAGATTGTCATACAAAAAAAATACTGGTAATTGATTCTGGTTATGAACTTTTAGGACAGAATATCTGAGTTTTTTGTCATACACTTATTTTTCAGTTTTATCAGCTTCTTTCCTTGCTTTTTCCGCATCTATAAGACTGAAAGTTCCCATTAGGCTGCTTTACTTTTCTGTGTTTCTGCATGGGTGTAAAACAGGGGTCTTAAATTCAAATTTGCCGGGGGGGGGGGGTCAGAGTCCGGTTGAGCCTGGGCAGTTTAAATTAAAAAGTTAAGTATAAGAAAAACTTGCTGCTTGCTCTAACACTAAACTTTGATGACAAGAAGGGCCTGCAAAATATCGTTGTATGGGCCGTAATTGACCTATGGGCCAGGAGTTTGAGATCCCAGGTGCAGAAAGTCTGTGATAAAAAGTCAAAGGTGTCTACTTTCTATATCCTTTTCTATTGAGAGTTGAAGTAGAAACTTTTGTCTGAGAAGCTTTAAAATACTTTTTTTTTTACTTCTTTTCTTATTATCCGCTTGCAATGGGACTCAATAGATTTGTGTTTTGTTTTTCTTGTCCAGGAGGAGGAAGAAGCCAGAGCCAAGCTAGCCTCTGAGGAGACCAAGAAGAAAAGTTGGTTTTCTGGCTTTAGAAACAAGTAATAGATGAACTGCTTCTCATTTTCTACTTCATTTCTAGGGCTTCACTTTTCATTTATAAAGAAACATTAAAGGAATTTGCATTTTTGGATATGATAGAAAACAATGTTGTCACCACAGCCCCCCTGTGGTTTGAATCATCCCATATTTATTGTGGTGGTTGTTTTTATGTGATGTTTCTTGACTTGATTTATTTTTATCTCATGTCTCATGCATACTTTAGGGTCTGAATTAGCTTAGTTTGTCAATGGTCAAAAGCAATTTGACAAATGTTTATCAAAATTTGTAGTTCATGGTATAATTGAATGATCATAGATTTATGGAGCTTTTAGAACATAGCCCATAGTTTTTTATCAAAAGGTTCTTGTTGTGTGCCGTAATCTTTCTCAGTTATTTTTGTTTTGTTAATTGGGGCTGGATAATTAATTTTATTCAACAGATAAAGTCTGACATTTTGACTGGAAGGTAAATTGAACTCTAAAAATGTTTTTCCCGTTGGTTATTATTGTCTGCCTTTTGTAGTTTTGTGTTTGCTAAACTTTCAAGATTTATTGGCCTTGCCATAGTTTTTATTTTGGCTCATTTGAAATTAATTCTTAAAACATTATGCGGTGGATGAGAGTTTGTTTTTTTATGTATCCTATCTCTTTGAAAGAATGGATTCCATTTTTGCCAGTTTCTGTCTTACGACAGATTCATTTGTTCATTGATAGAAATAATTATCTTGGTAGTTTTTAAAAATATTTTGTTTGTAGTAATAGTTGTTTAAAAAATTGAACAGAATATCTCTTTAGAGCATATTTGACTTTTTTGGTTCACTGAATGAAATTTCAAGAATTTGGTCTTTTAATTCCCATTTTTAGGTTCTGAGATCATATGAAATACAGCGGATTCTGCTTAAACTGAACACAGTTAATCTGAAAACAGTTATCCCTAATTTTTTTCTTTCTTTTATTTGAGAATTCTCTAAAGAAAAAAACCTGGCTAAACTGAGGAAAATCCAGGGGTGCTGCAGATTTTAGTTTAAGGGGACTCCACTGTGCTGATATTATGTGTCTTTGAATTTGATGAAATCATAACAGTGTAAGGTCTTGATGTCGGTGTGAATTCAGCCATTATATGGCTTTGTAAGTACATTAGTTCTGGTGTCTGTAGTGAATATACAGCTTTATGCATACATTAATTGTGTCTGTGGAAGAAGTTGAAGAAACGAATATCTTCTTTGAGAGACTGTGGTATTCGAAACCAGTATAATTGTGTAGCACTCATTAACTCATTACATATGTTGTAAATGACACAGAGCTATTTTCAGACTTTCATCATAAGTGATCTGTTTTTGTATATCATAATAATGGTGCGCTAAGAGTATTTTTGTTGTGTGGTCAAATTTTGTTTTTTAAAAAATCCAACAGAATGAGCAATGTAAGTAACGTTTATTATCTTTTTCCATGGCTGTGTACCCCGGTTTGAAAGTGGTTAAAGAAGTGGCATTCATAAATAAATTTTCATTTTTAATACACTGCATTGTGTAGCTGAGAAAAAGGGTTGAAACTTCTCCGTCATGTTCACCAGTCAGACGGAACTGTGTGTGAGGGACTGGTTAACTCCATGTCCAAACCTTTGTGTGAAATTGTTCTAACTTGGGACATAGTTTGAGTTTCATGTGAGCTTGTCATATTGTGAAACCTTCTTATAATTTTAATACCCTTATAGCTTGTTTTTTTAGTGAGTGAGAAAAAAGTTTGGGGAGACATTTTTAACTACAGCCACAATTTCATTTATTGAGAAGATTTAATTTTTGCTTAATGCACATCAGTATAGAGATGATGGTATGACTGACCAGCAATCAAAAATTGTAATCTCTCTCACATGTGTTATTTAACCATTGTGTTTTTGTCAGTCACACAGCAGATTGATAGGTATTTCTATTGTTATAGCCTAGGGGATGGTGACTCCAAATTTATGAATTCAATTTGTTCAGATGTTACTGTGTTTTGTGTTCAAACGTGCTCAATGTGATATGTTTTGGTTGTGCTTGTTCCTGTCTGATAGGTGAAAAGGAGTCCAAAAGTAATCTTGTTTGTCTCTCTTCTGTGTATGTATGAGGCATGTTTTGTGTGGATGTTGGTGACTGGCACTCTTTTGCTTTTTTGTACTTTGGATTGAGTTTTGTGCGCATGTTCCATCACTGACATTACCAAGGATGTTGTGAAAGAGCAGAGTGATTGCTTCTGTTTGTACCTTCATTTTTTCCCCCTAAAAGTTGCCACATTAAAACAGTTGCAAAATTTGAGTTACAATTGAAATGGTGTTGTTGATATGTATTTTGATTTGACTTCTTCATTTTCATTTCATTCATTGTTTCTGTCTGTGAGTTGTCTGCATATTTTCATCATACCAGGGGTAGGGGCTACTTTTCTCCGGAACTGTCTTTAGTGAAATGTCAGGGCAGTGCTACTGACTGAAGTTGTCTTTAGGCCATTCCGAAAGGGGGGATATTACATATTCTTATATGCAGTAGAATTGTAAATGGGCTGATTTATCAATGTCATGCTCATACTGTGCCGGAACAACATAGGGGGAACTGCTGTTTTTTCTTTCCTCATCCTTACTATCGTCATTTTTTCCTCTCCTTCCTTTGTATGTTTGTCACTCTCTTGAGAGTGGGTGGTTGGCGGGTGCTCTGGTGTGGTTTGCTTCTTCTTTTCTATCAAACATCCATCGTCCTTATCTCCCCTTCTTCTTTTTTATGTTTGTTACTCTCTTGTAACACCTCTTATCTGTTGGCGCTCATATGACCTGATGCAGTTGCGAGGGCCGTAAAGCCGCTACTAAAACTAACTCTCTTGCAAATTGTTATTTCCGGGTTGCCTTGATAGTCGAAGCAGACTTTGTGCTGTTGAAGCTAGAGAGGTGAGCAGAGTAAGCCTGATTCCCCGTTTGGACTTCTCTGTTGACGTCCACCCTTTGGCACTCATATGACCTTATGCAGTTGCGAGCACCGTAAAAACCTTACTAAAACTAAAAAAACGACCATTGTCATGCCAGCCTGTCATATACCACTACTCCTCTCAAATAGCCATGGGTAGTGCTTGGTTTTAAAAAAGTGGTTGGACTTTTTCCTGATAAAAATTGCTGTTGATTTTAAAAAAATTATTGTACAACTGTGTGCACTTTAAAAAAAAAAAAATTGACGAGTCTACAAATGTCAAAAGCCTGACAGCAAAATTTCTTAGAACTGACTATATGAATTGTGTGTATGGTAGACCTATTTATGAGATTTGATAGTTTTACAAAATCAGGTTGGAAAAAAAAATCAAGACTAAAGCCATGTTCATAATCAGCTGACTTTTAATGAAAGCATCTTTATCTTTAGGGGAGCCTGACTTTACAGTGTTTTCCGCATTCTGAACGAGGGAAACTTGATTGGTGTGGCTTGGGCTTGAAGCTAGACACCTAATTTGGGAAAACTAATTACTCTCAGCACAAAGCAACAACAAAAAACCCTCACTGCAAATCCTCAAACGTGTTGCCAAAAGTTTAATTTTTGCCGTAGATTATCTAGTAAACCGCGCCCAAAGCAGATCACAGCTTGTTTGACCCGCGGGGGTCGCGGAACGAAGCTGAACAAGGGAAGTAACTTCTTTGATTCACAGGAAAGAGGGGGAAGTCATCAATTTCCTCCCCTTTCACGGCGGAGCATCGTCCTCATCCGTTGTTACCACTGTTTTGAGCAGACATCGCAGGCAGCAGGACTTGCCCTACCTGTCCTGTCGTTTGATGCTCAGGCTGAAAACATCGTGTTTGATGTACGCAACAGACGGGGAGCCGTGTTTGCAACGATGGCGGCTGGCACTTGAGAAGGAGGCGGTCTTTTGAATTGATTTTTTTTTTATAAGGAAGTCTCCACTCTCTTCTCAGTTTCCGTGTTTTTGTGCCAACATGACCCATAACTGGTAAAGTTGGTTTATTTTTACCTCCCTATGTAAGTAAGCCTAGCTTGAGGTCTTGTTAAGTCAGGAACAAACAAACATAGTCTCCTTATGTTTTAAGAGGAAAAAATAAACAAGTACACATTATGTACAACAAGCAAGCAAGGGAGAAAGAAAATAGGATAGATAGCAAACTGAAAGTAGGTGGGGGGCTCTCATGAAGGGATGACGAATCTTTAAAAGTAAGAAGGGTGATTTTGAAGGTACAGTATGTTTTTTTTTTTTTAAATTAATAGAGATCCAAGCTACTCGTCTAACTAGAAACTGCAATATGTGGTGTGAGTCATTGTGTGGTACATGTAGGCTTATATGTATATTTGAGTCCGTGCCGTCGGCTCAGTGAGTGTCATGATGTGAATGACCTTTGTTCGAATCCCTAACAGAGCGTTCTAGAATCTGCGTTGTTTTAGACGTTTTCAAGGCTTTCTATATAACTATAATATAAGAGATTGGTGAAATTCAGAAGTCCACTTCCAGAGTGATGCACTGTGTGCAATATTGAAATTGCTATAGTTATTTCTTTTCAAAGGTACTTTGAAGATAGGACCGTTTAAACACATGGGCTCGTTCAGAAGCAGTCCGAGCTTAGGCCATTGCTAATTAGGTGTCTTTACTTTTGGCTTTCAAAGTTGATTTTATTTTTTTACAGGAATTCATTTTTACTTTACATTTCAATTATAAAGCATCCTAAATCATCTACTTTGCGTCGACGGGGGCGTTAAAACACCTACATTTTTCTCCCCCCCCCCTCTCTCTCTCTCTCTCTCTCTCTCTCTCTCTCTCTCTCCCCCCCCCCCTCTCTCTCTCTCTCTCTCTCTCTCTCTCTCTCTCTCTCTCTCTCTCCTCTCTCTCACTCTCATTAAAATATATTTAAGGGTAATCCGTCATTTTAACTGCCAAATTCTCTACCTGTTGTGGTTAAGTTGGAAGTGTAGATCTATGTGGGTGTGGTTTGTTGGTGCGCGTATGTGTGGTGCGGAAAGGGTTTTCTTTTTTCCCTATTTCACACGCTCTTTCTTCCTGTCTGTCTGTCTGTCTCTCTGTCTGTCTCTCTGTCTGTCTGTCTCTTCCTCTCTCTGTCTCTCTCTGTCTGTCTTGTCTCTCTCTCTCTCTCTCTCTCTCTCTCTCTCTCTCTCTCTCTCTCTCTCTCTCTCTCTCTCTCTCTCTCTCTCTCTCTCTCTCTCTCCGGCTTCTGTGGTGTAGCATTTTGGAGCTGTGCAGGAGACCCGGATTCGATTCCCGAGTAGAGAGAGAGATTTTGTCGAGTATGTCCGTTTTTCTAATGGGATATTGTACCGCTCTCAGCCCGGGTTTTAGTTTTCCTTGAGAGGCATGGTCGGAAGCCCGCCTCCTAAATCATCTACTTGGCGTCAAGGGGGGCGTTAAAACACCTACATTTCTCTCTCTCTCTCTCTTTCTCTCTCTCTCTCTCTCTCTCTCTCTCTCTCTCCTCTCTCTCTCTCTCTCTCCCTCTCTCTCTCTCTCTCTCTCTGTCTCTCTCTCTCTATCTATCTATCTATCTATCTATCTATCTATCTATCTATCTATCTATCTATCTATCCCTCTCTCTATCTCTCCTCGGTGTATGCGTTCATGTGCGTGTTTCGCCATGTAGTTGTTTCTTGTTTCATTGTTTTTTAATTGTTTTGCAGTTTCTTTGTTCCTTTTTTGGTTATTTGTTTGGGTTTGTTTTGTTGTTGTTGTTGTTGTTGTTGATGTTGTTGTTGTTGTTGTTGTTGGGAAGGCAATCAGTTGTTTAGCCCAAGAGCGCCAGCTTTAAGATGTTCAGAAGACGGCCTTGACATGAGGCGCTCTTCTTACCTTCAGATTTTGATGCTTTGTGTACATTGAACAGTGAAATTGAGAAATTCCTTACATCATAGCGTTTTGGTTTTAGGCCATCCTTGAAACACACATTGTATTTTCAGCTGGCACGAGCCTGGTGTGTGCACTGGGAAACAGCAGAAGGGTGGTTGGGGGGGGGGGGGCGTAGCTGATCTTTTTTTAAAGTCAGACGCTCTACTAGGCACAACTGTGTAATTTTGAAAGCAAGTCACATAGAATATTATAGTCCCCCGCCCGTCAGGACACCTGACTGGGAGAAAATGTTCTCGAGAGAGCAGAAAGAATATTCAGATCCATTCGAATTCATAGCTAAAAAACTTCAGCTTTGGGGACTAAGTTCGTGACCTGGGGGGCATACTGCCTTTAGGCGCACACCCATTGAAATGGAAAAAAAAAACTTTGCAAAATTATATGTGTGTCTAACGTGAAGAAATCCTTCTTACAAACTTTTATAAGAAATAAATTGAACTTGAGAAGAATATTACAAATCTGTATGTGTGTCTAAGATGAATAAATACTACTTACAAACTGTTATAGTTATAAGGAATGCATTGCAGTTGATATTTACCCCCCCCCCCCCAACAACAAACAACCATAAAAACAAACTAACAAATGATTTTCAAAAAGATTATAGCATCGGCCTGATTAAGAATATTTCGCGAGCGGGCTACAACGTGTACGTAGTAACACAGTACATGGGTCAACCTGAGCTGTATGTGTTACTTCATCCGAGGAGGGAAACAAATCTACTCAAACGCAAAGCGTGTCGCATTCCCCGGCGGAGAGGCATTAAGTATTGTTTCTTCTTTCTAGAGCATACGTAGCCCAGGGAGAGTCCGCTCGTAAAGACAATCTGATTCTATTCTCGAAATTATGTGAACGCAGAAAAATCAAGAAGGCGCACCTTGTCTGTCTGTCTGTCTGTCTGTCTGTCTGTCTGTCTGTCTGTCTGTCTGTCTGTCTGTCTGCCTTGCACACCTTACTGTTGTCCGAATCGGTCTGTCTTAATTTTAGTTTTAGTAGAGGGTTATACGGCGCTCGCAACTGCATAAGGTCATATGAGCGCCATCTGTCGGTCTGTTTGTCTGCCTTACTGTTGTCCGAATCTGTCTGTCTCAACAGATCGCGACACCAAGGCGAGCACGATAAAAGACACGAAGATATGTTATGGATATGATTATGAAGCCTTCGATGAAAATGAAAAGATGCTACTCCACACTCTATAGACGTTTGGGAGTATGATCTTGATCGACACCCGCTGGCACGGGGAGTTGCGTCCCTTTACTATATCTGTCCGCCTATCCTTGTGTTTCATGTGTGTGTGTGTGGGGAGGGGTTGCTTGTGCGTGTGTTTGTGTGCTCTATCTCCGTGTTCTGCTTCGTTTTGGTTTTCTCTAAGTATGTATTGGGTTTTAATAGCCTACATCAAGCAGGACTGGAATTATAATTATTCAGGTATGATTTT